GTGGAAAATAATGTGTTTTTTGAACCTTAAACCACATAAACACATTTCATTACACCAAATACACAAAATAATGTTATTTTTAGCAACATCATATGACCCCTTTAAATGAACAGTGTCAGTTACATAACATCAATGATCTGAGTGAAGAATTCTGCCTTAAGACAGCTAGTGTGCATTGTGAGAGCCAGGTGTTTGCAAAACAAACATTGTTATGAGTCAAGAGAGAGAGAGAGAGAGACTGTGTGGTCTAAATACAATGTGTGTGGTTTGCAGATTTCCGCTGAAGTGGTAGATTTTTAATATATACAGTATATATATATATATATAGTCAGAACTAGAGATCGAGACTGAATCCCTTGCATTCAAATAATTAATTTTGTGTGTTTGCTTAAAACATCGGGAATTATGAAGATGTGTACATTTAGAATTAGAGGGTAAAACTATTTAGTGTTTCTGATTATGTTTTATTATTATTCATATATTTATTTCTTTATTTTTATTTCTTTTATTTATTTTTGATGTCAATATTATCGTGATTAGTACTCCTTTTGGTTAATTTTGTTCAATAAGTTGAATATATTCAACTGACTGCTGTTTATTGGACTTCAGAGCTGCAATATTGTAACAACTTTTTAAATTTAGACTATAATATAATTTGTTGCGTGAATTTAAAAATTACATTTAATTTTAACATTTACTCCCCTATATAATGCATTCCCATGCAAAGCATACTGGGAACTACAACAGATCTACTGCTCAGTTACAGTATGTCAACAAAAATGATGAATGCAGTCCCAACAACAACAAAAAAACAATTAAGTTTTACAAATGTAAGTGGATTGAACATAATGAAATTAAGTTGCGACAAAATGTTTAAGAACTGTGTTTTTGTCATTTTAAGCGCCCATCACTAGGCTACGAGATGGTGGACGAAGCTAGTAAAAAGTTAAACAGGCCTATATCCAAAACTATTTCAACATGGAAAACGTTAATAGCCTACAGAATTTGTATTATGTATTTGTATTAAGTTTCTGCCTGTAGATTGTTAACATGCTTCACTTCTAGCCCGTACATGTAAAATAAATGAGCCTTTTTATTATTCTGCTCATATGACTGCTGTCATCATGTTAATGTAGGCCTATGTGAAAGTTAGGCCTATAGTTCATATTTTTATATTTACGATACTGAGGAAAAGGAATGAATTAATTTGTTACTTTATTTGCATTACTGTTTTTAATTGTTCTGATACTTAGCCAATTTATTTCCAGAAAAATTTCGAGTTGTTTCATGATGCATTTGCAGTTTCCATGGTGCACAGGCTGAATGCGTCCTGTAGGGAGCGCTGTGGAGTGAAGGCTGAGGGAGGATCAGGGCTGGACCGCTGGAGACTCACCCCTGCCTTCTATGGCAAAACCCAGCCTTCTCATGAAATGAGTCGCCAGAACAACGCATGCAGTGAGTACAGACAGCAGAGAGAATGCGTGTGTCTTCAGCAAGGTAAGCTGGAACACCTTTTCTTCGTATTCATGTCTATTGTGGATCGGTATTTATGATAAACTACATATATGGAGATTTTAAAGAATTTAATTAAATATTAAGATTTTTTACTTTCTTATTCAATTGGGAAATTCCCATATTTGTTACTGAGAGTGAAAGAGGGTTGTGACAGTTTGTTTGCATTTGGCTTTTTTTTTAAGTAATTTTCTTGAGTTAACAGTATCGAAGTATTTCTGGAAACGTTTTTATTGTTTTAGCATTCAACATTACGCTTTAAGAATGTCACAAAAATGTTTGTGGCTCCTGTGCGTTCCGTCCTAACCAATAAGTGTTAGCTCTGTACTAGCACAGAAAAACCATATGTTCCCCAATGTAATTATATTCTTAACATGTGTTTACAGTTGGGTTTAGCCCAGATAGCACACGTACGTCTGCAAGATGTCTGTTAAAGATCGCTTCATCTGGAAAGCATCTGCAGTGTACAAACATCTGATAGTCAGTTTTACATAGGGTGAATTAAGGGTGATTGGGACAGTTTTTGAATTTCCGCCTTGTGCAAGGTTTCTTGCCATAAATTAAAAACATCAGCCCAACACATTATACATTTCTGTAATACTGAATATATTAACTACCCATTTGAGGAGGAAACAATGTTATATTTGAATGAAAGGATGTGTGACATACACTTTTCTGTAAACTGAGCCCCCCCAAATTTTTTTTTGTAACATTTGGGTGTTTGGGACTCAACGTTTGGGTGATTGGGACAGCACATTTTTTAAATTGATTTAGAGTAGTGTAAGAATATTTGGTTACACTTTACTTGAAGGGGTGTGCATAAGACTGACATGACACCTTCGTAATCATGACATGACACATGTCATGAATATGAAGGTTTTTTATGCATGTTTATGACAACTGTCATTAAGTGTCATACCCCTTCAAGTAAAGTGTTACCGAATATTTACTGAATTGCACAAGTTAGTTAATACTTTGATATAATTTTATATGGAATAATTCCTTTTCTGTTCATCATCATTAAGAGGCCAATGGTTCTCAGATCATAAATCCATCCACAATTCATACAATACAACACATGCAACTGAGGTAAAAGAAGGGAAATAAATTCTGTATAGTTATACTGTCCCATTTTACCTTATGTCCCAATCACCCTGAATTCACCCTACATTCTAAATCATAAACATCTTAAAGACATCTTCTAAACATCTATTTGACATCTGATAGGAAATGTCCCATAGACGTATTGCAGATGAGCAAGCACTCTAAACACTCTGTCTTGCAGATGCAGATGTCAAATAGACATCTCCGTGATGTACGTGTGCTATCAAGGAAATATACACAACCCTGATAGCACACATACATAACAGACGTTTACATTTACATCTGCAAGACGTATTTTTTAGAGTGTTTGCTCATCTGCAATAAGTGTATAAGATGTTTCCTATCAGATGTCAAATAGATGTTTAGAAGATGTCTTTAAGATGTTTATGATTTAGAATGTATGTAAAACTGATGTCTGAAAGACGTTGATGAGATGTTTGTACACAGCAGATGCTTTGCGATCTTTAACAGACATCTTACAGACGAACGTGTGCTATCTGGGTTCAGGCTATATTCTGATTATGTTTGTGTGATTTTAAGTGGACCAACTACTAAGCACTGAAACTTTATGACGTATCATGTGACATGGGTTGGTGATAATAGTTTATATGATTATATATCATATCAGATGCCATCTGTTTGCTCATCTCCTCTGTGTGGAAAATGTAATGCTGACTCATTAGTTTATCTCTCTTTATGCCCATTAGCTGGCGTTGGTGTAGATTTCATATCTCACTCCACTAAAAACTGTGTAAATATAAAATCTCAATGGCAGCCATTTCAAACACATTGAGTTTTACTGTTGTACAGCAATTTATGATTATGATATGATCAAACATTTGCTTAAAGGTTTAAGACCATGTAGCCTGTAAGCAAAATATATTTTTTAAAAATGTAAATATCACAAGCAGATTTGCTTCTAGCAAATTCTGCAGGTTGTTGTCCAGAGCGCCAATATTTATGCATCATATCCAAACAAAAACAGTCTAAGATGGCTGATTTGAACTTCAAACTTGACCCATTCTGACCAGTATTATCTAATTCATGTACTTTGCTGACTCATTGAGTTTTGTTTGCTCATGTCTTGGCTCAAACAATGCACAGTGGCTCTTGGGGGCAAGATGAGGTCATTTCCTTCAATAAAAAGGATAAATGAGGTAGCTGGTAACCTCACCTATGGATTTGAACACCTTTTTATGCCTTCGATGCATGTCGGTTAGCCTTTCAGTATAAGAAATGTGTGTATGAAATCCAGAGGTGTAAAGTATTGGAGTAAATGTAATTAGTTACTGTACTTGAGTATCTTTTCTTTTTATTTGTTTTGTAATTTTGAGGTGTTCAGTTTTATTTTGGTTTCAGAAAATAAACGTGATTGCTCTCCTCACAAATGATCTCTTTCTTGTTTTTGTTTAATGCTCTCTGTGCCTTGCCCTGGACTTTTATGTCACTTCCTGTCTCCCGTGGTGTTTGTAGTCAGTTTGTAGTCCGTTTGTTCATTGGTTCACCTTGATTAGTCTCCTCAGGTGTGTATTATCTTGTTAAGGCCTGATCACACCAAGCACGATAACTATAAAGATAACGATAAAGATATAGTTCTAAAAATTGTTCTCAATATTATAGAATAGAAGAGTCCACACCACAACTATAATGATAAAGGCACAGAGAAACGATATTGTTGGAATCATTTTCAGAACGATTTTTTCCAGCTGATGAACGATAAAAACATTGACAGCCAATCAGATCACTGGCGTGTCTCTTTGACTAGTGCATCTTTGAGCCTATATTTAGTATAAGTAAAATACTTAAGTACTGTTAAAATCAGATACTCTAAGACTTTTACTCAAGTTGTTTTGGAATTGGTGACTTATAACTTGTAATTTTCACTGTAAGGTATCTGTACTTTTACTCAAGTATGGTTTTTAGGTACTCTTTACACCTCTGGTGAAATCTTGCAGTCCCTTTATGTCAATACAAATTCACGTGCAAGAAGAATCTGTCTCTTTATATTAATATATCACATATGTGGAAGTTTTGCAGGTTTCTGTTAAGGGCACGAGGCCAAGACATTTGCCAATTGTACAATGAACACATTGGCTTTGAGGTGCTATTCAAGTGAAGTGAAGCGGGTGGTTTTTGATAGAATGGTTCAGAATGCTTAAAGACATAGTTGACCAAAAAATGAAAATATTGTAATTTACTCACCCTCATGTTCCAAGCTTTTGGGACTTTGTTTAAAATGAAGTATTATAGTAGAAAAAAGGCTTCTATAGTATAACCTTGACAATTTTGATTTGCGTTTTTGTAGCATATTTTCTCCATACTGATATGCTAAAAATTTGATACTTTGGAAATATGTAAATCATAAAAAGGAATTTGCATACTTGTTAGCTGCATGCATTGTCAGAAACCTCCAAGGAAAATTTACACTATCATTTGTATTTCCACTTAAACGATCAGCTTTTGTTGTTTTTGGATTCATGTCAATTGATATGAGTTTCTCATTACTAACAATAAAGTTGCGCAACATGACTTTGAGGAACCTACAGTATTACATCAGCATTCCGACTGAACAAAGGCTGAACGAGTTTTGCATAAGAGATCATAATAACATTGCATGAGAAGAGGTTTCATATCAGCATGAGATGACGCAGAAGTACGGATTTTATTGGGTTGACTGTATTTCCACTTAATTAGAGAAGATTGCTGCTGGGTTTCCACTGAGATCAGCAGATATTGCTGATTTTTACAGTATGGATGTGCATCAAGCACCTTCTGAAAACTTCATACCTGAATACAGGCTGTCAGTACATGTTTACCAAGTGAAATCTGGAAGTTTAACTTTGGACGTTAAATCTTTAATTATTCATCTTTATACAGTGGGGTTCCAAAGGTTTAATTTTTCTAATTAAAAAAATAAATCATTACAAATGAATTAATCAAATGTAGCAATTTGAGTGAAAAGTTAAGCATGTAAAATTAACATGCATTTCAGAATGTCTTAGTATTTGATTTGTTCCCAATGTCACAAATTACCTATTTAATTAGATACCTAGAAATAGTGCAGAATCCTTTTTTTTTTACGTAACTTTTTATTTATTTCTTTTTATTATTATTTCTTAAATTCTTAGTTTAGATTCCCAGATTTTTTTGGAACCCACTGTTTTGCAGACATTTTGGAACATTTTTGTTTTTAGTACCATCTGTCTGTTTCTGGTCTGTTAACTGTTAACTTGCTCAAGCAGATGTGCCAGACATGCTTGTATGAAAATGAACAGCAAGTGCATGTACGCTTCTAGCAAATTCCGCAGGATCGGAACTTGAAGCAACACATAAGACAGAATCAGTGGCACACATAGAACAGATGAAAAGTAAAAAAAAAAAAAAATGAATGGCCTCGAATTCGATCTCTTCAATTCTTTGCAGTGGTCATAACAGTTTCAGACAAACACATTATACTCTGTTGAATATTTTGTAATGCATACTCGACCTTGTGTTCACATAAGTTGTTTATAGTTCTTTATCACTTTAAGTGTCTAGGCATTTATAGTAAACAAGCTCCATTATAGCCCAGCCTGGTCAGAACTTGTCCGAGTTTTTGGCGTATCAGGTTTTCCAAAGCAAACTGCACTGCTTTCTCCCACATTTCTCATCTCCGTTTCCTGGCTTATGTAATGAGACACCTCCGGATTGATTTAATGCCGTGGAGGGAGGCTACTGTACAGGCTGTGGAATGTAGCCTGCAGGTTGGACAAAATACAAAGACTCTGTTTGAAAGTTCATACTGTTCTCTTCACCATTCAGAACAGTTATTATGTGATTTAGTTGAGTTGTAAGTGAATGTAGAGGTACAGGTCAATTCAGCATTGCAACAATTCCTGTTCAAATGCCTGAAACTACTTATACATGCAAATAGGGTCTCGGTATGTCTTCATGTGAAGACCATTCCTTCCTTATTCATAAAAGCCTGACATCAAAGGCAGAATTGAATGTGTTTGTTTGTAAGTGCATTCTCATGTCTTGCCTTAAGGGTAACTGTGTATCAAAGGACTGGGCCAGCGATCAAATGGCGCCAAGAATAAACTATTAGGCTACAAACTATTAACCAGATTCAGAATCAATGATGACGGCAAATGCAAAGTGATGCATGACAGATGCACAAGTTAATGAGAGGGTGTATGCACTCAAAAAAGAACATTAAGTCTTGTTTGCGAGGTGCACGGGGTGTGGCAGAGCACAATTAAAACTTTCTCTTTTTCTCCCCAGAATGCACTTTTTTCTGTTCATTGTCAGGCTGCATGGGTTTTTGTTAAAGGGGTCATATGATGCTATTTTAAAGAAAATTATTTGGTGTATTTGGTGTAACAGAATATGTTGACATGCTTTAATGTTCAAAAAACACTTTATTTTTCAAATACTGTACATACTGTACGGTCCTCTATGCCCCGCCTCTCTCAAACGCTTCGTTTTCAACAAAGCCCCCTCCTTTGACGAGCGCAGTCTGCTCTGATTGGCCAGCTGACCCAGTGCATTGTGATTGGCCAAACACCACAAG